AATTATCCAAGCCGTATTTGTAGTAAGTATTTAGATGCTACAAGCTCATCTAAGCTAGTCACCACGAAGTTCAAATTAGCCTATGCTCCAGATTAACAAAATGTATTCTAGAAATAAACCCATAGGAGTAAGCGTTCTAAAAAAACATTATCGAGATTGTCTCAGATATTGAGTATAAAAAGATTAGCAAAATGTTTTTTTTTCTAAGAATAAATATTTGAAAGCGCAGGATCTTATTGATCGAACTTTGTAGAGCCAATCAATGTGTCTTTGTCGTTGGTCTACACAACAACTTCTGATAGGGTAATTTGGTTGTGATGAAATTTTCCATGGTATATTGTCACACTAGAATCTTGCTGAAATTTGAATATGAGATTGTTTGAACGAGTGATTTCTGAGTTATTGAAAATCTATTGCTATTTTCCTATTACTCCTTATGTGCTCCATTTGATACACTTTTTACAGTACACATAGCTTTCGGATAAAATACGAAGTTTCTACGTTTATTTTCTTATGTTCCATCTTTAGTTCAAATCGCGCTATATACCAATCGATCGAGTTTTACTTACTCTATAAGATGGTGTACATAATATTTTCTCATACTTCTAAAATGACATTCAGAATGTCCAAATACCAATTTTGCATAGATAACGTGAGTACTTCCTCAACCAATTTTTGACAAATTAGTCAATACATTTCTCACCCTCGTTCGTTTTAATAAACGTATATTGTAGCGCGTTAAGTTCCATATCGGATAATTCATCTGATCTCCATGTCAAATGACTAGGAATGGAATAGATTTATCATGAGAACTATGCTAGTGAGACGTATATTAGGGATGGACCATTTAATTTAATTCTACTTAATTAACGGCCGTTAATTAACGGAACGCGTTAATCGTTAGTATTAACGTTTAACAGGTTGCACTTAACTGATAAACGGTTAATTAATCATAATATATGATCCTTTCTGACAACTAAGTATCTATAGGACCCAGCATTAATTACATGTACCCTGGTAAGACACTCACCTTTCATATTTATGCCATCGTGGGAACCAGTCTTGGAAAAAGTCTCTATTCCAAGGCCTATTATCGCGAATTTTGATTCACCAGTTTCAACCAATCAGCGATGACTGCAATTTTTTTTCAAAAACTTATTTTCGCTGGAAATCGAACAGGAAAACCTTATATAAGGGTGCTTTTTGTTTTCGAATTGTATTTGACCTCCAGAGATCTGCATTGGTTGCTAATTTTCTTACAGGTAGGCAGTGTTTTCCCCCGGTTGTGCGATATTAACCATGGACCTTTGAGTTTTCGTTCATGAATCTATAGTTACGGAGTAGAATGCATCTACAATTGCCTCTGAAGTAATAGAATATCTCTCTTACACGTTAATCACTTAAGTAAGTGGAAATTAACGGTTAGGTATAACCCGTTAATTGTAAATATTAACAGTTAGCGGCTTACCGTTTACATTAATTTCAAAATAACGGAAATGGCCCACCCCTAAGGTATATGACATCAGAAATGGATTTTATGGTTACTGTCACTCTTGGTGTAGCAAAGTGCATCGTGAAGGCTTTCCGTGGAGACTATTTTGAACAAAACAACCGACACTTAATATTACTATTTTATCCTAAAACCACGAGTGACAGCTGGTTTCTACGCTTTTCAGTGATAATCAGCAGTTATGAACTACTATGAAGCACATCTCACTTTTGAAAGCGTCATATTCATAACTAGCTAAAAATTCAGTTAGAAAAACTATTTTTCAACTACTTCTTAGAAAGTTTAATTTTCTTGGAACTATTCTTGGAGTACCACTCATGGAAGNACTTTTTCGGCGATTGCTTCGAATTACAGACGAAGCACAAAAAAAGTCAATATGAAGAAAAATCCAGCACTGTGAAGAAAGCAAAAGACTCAGGTACCTCCGACGACCGGACATTGACGACAGCCATTGTTAGCTCAAACTATATGGACATCAGCGAAAGAGAACGAAAGCGAGAAGAATCGAGAAAAAGTGACCTTCGTGGGACCTGAACCCACACCTTCTGCTATCCGGGCAGATGTCCTAATCCAGTTAGACTAGAAGGACCATCTTAATATATAGTCTAGCGTTGTGTGATTCATCACAAACGCTAACAGAATCAACGAAGGTTTTCTATTTTGTGACGAAACCTTATTGGAAGCGTACGAAACTTGAAAAGGTTCTGTGATGAATGTTTGGAACGTGTACTCACTGAACAATCATTTTTTGGTTTCGCAGATTTCTGAAAAGCATTCTGTTTAACATGTCGACACATTTGGAAGCTTTGGACACCTACGAAACCATTTTCATGGGTTTGGTAGAATACCCTATTCTTTTTCAATGTAATATAAAGAAGAAGGTTTATTTGTTTATCTGTTCGCTATATCTTGAATCCATGTAATAGCTATCGTTATCAAACTCTCCAAGATGGCTCCCTGGGTTTAGAGAAAGGTTGACATGTACTTTGCTCAGAAGAAAAGGAAACACACGCTTGCTACGGGCAACCTATGAAACTAACTAATCGTATTGCAAGATTATAAAGGATTAAGATAAATAGTAGCCAAAGCCGTATAAACGCTCCTCTGTGTATACACTCATACGAAGAAGAAGGTTTGTTTGTCAGTCTACATGTTCGCTACCCATGGAGTTGCCGCAATAGCTAATGTCACGAAACTTCTCACCGAGACTTCTTTGCTGCAGAGAAAAGATTAATAGAAGACTGAGCGTTGACAAGAGTGTCGGTGAGCGGTGTTGATCATGATATTGGATGAAGGTGAAGGGATGATTGAATACGAAAGATATGTTGTACGAAATGACGTGTGCTTGTGAATGAGATCGATGAGTGAACGGCTGGAGTGGAGCATGAATATCAGAGAAAGACATAGTTTTAATAATTTCTGATGCGGAAACTAGCTTCTATAACTCTTTTGCACAAAGAGAAATAACTGATATTGTCGTTTTTTGTGATGCACGGCGGGAAAGATAAGGACCGCAAGCGGAGAAATTAGAAGTACATGGATTTGTCTATACGCTGCAGTTTTTCAACGCCTGAGACGTTCGGCATAAATATTTTTTATTTGCCAGCGACTACTACCGCTAGTATTTCATAAAACTTTACTGTTGTTTTTATATTCGTTACAGTCAGGTATGTAATCACTCCTTTTGCTTTTCACTAGTGTTTCGATAAAGCGGCTACGTAAAGCCCTGCAAGAAGTAATTAAAAAGCAGACAGTTTTGCGTACATCTTTTCATATTGATCCAACTACGGCAGAACGGTACCAACGCATTGAAGAGTTAACTGACGAGGGATTCATATTTGTGGAAAGCAAACTGTGCGAGAAATACTGTTCTGATGCACTACAAACTCTCATTATTCAAGAGAGAGCACCAAATATATTCCCACCGGAAGGAGCTCGTCGTGTCCGGTTACATATTGTTCGTCGCCACTTAAGAAAAGCAGAAAAACACGGCTGCGAGCCAGACAATAACAACGAGGATTCTCTTCATGTTGGAGATTTCATCATTCTTACGACGCGAAACGAAGTTTTCGATGGTACATCCGTGCGCTATTTGTTAAATGATTTAGTTTCCGCTTACAGAACCGGTTATCTACCTATTCGCAATGACGCTGTTACTTATTTGGACTATACGATATATACACGTGAAATGGATACATCGGCTAGTAGCGCCTATTGGGAAGAACTCTATCAAGATTTAGATGTTACAAAATTTGTATCTCGCATTCCATCTGATCGTTCGTAAGTGTATATATGAAATTTTTTTCAAGCCCATAGAACGTGAATTGGGGCTACTTGCACCAAACTCCGTTGGAAAAATTTGCGTTCTTTTTGTAGTCGACGCATAATGCTCACATAAGATCGAATTAAAATGACTGCTTTTCACAGTACCCACTTTAATGGAAATGAGCAATGCCTGAAATTTAAAAAAGATTTCTGTATTCTCCAAGTACAGTAGAACCTCGCCTACTGAACACCCCTCCTTAATGAAAAACCGATTACATTGAACACTCTTTGGTCCCCGGGAGCGATTTTTGCCGGTTTTGACCCCCTCCTTATTGAAATCGTCGCGATTCTGAATGTGAACGCTTTTTTTCAGTCCCGACTGCATCATTTCCCTGTGTGATGTGAACGTTATAGAGGGCGCCGTTATATTTTAAACAAACGCAATAAACTCTATTGGCTAATCTTACATTTAACTCAGAGAGAGAAAGAGAAAAATTTAATTTCAATGTTCCTTATAAATTGAATTACATATACGTCTCGTATGTTTAAGAATTAAGGATAAATTATTGGATATCACAAACTTCTATGAAGTTTCTTTTGAAGAAAAACTAAACTTTATAAGAAAGAAAGAAGAGCATTTGCTTCTCTGGCCGGTTATTGAACTAATAAATTCAAGGCTTGTATGTAGCTGTTTCAAGAATTTTCAAGGGAAAACCGGAAAATTGGCATGCGATTACGAATTGAACAAAAATACAGCTAAACATAGAACTGAGAAATAAATTTAGAACCCCAGTAAACACACTATTCAAAAGAGAATTAAGAAATATCAATGACTATTTTACATAACAAAATGAACTTTATTTGTGAGATCAGTATTAAATTTTTTTCTACCCGTTTGGTCTCTTAACCAGGCTATCAATTTTGTATGGGAATCTTGAGAACGGATAAGAATGTGGGCCAGGATTTGGATTCTCTCTTCAACAGTCGTGTTTTCACTCAAATCCATTCCAGTACATATTTTTCAATAGTAAATGGTGTAAATATACTATTTAAATCGAAAGAAACGTTTCCTATATAAACCCCCGCCTATATGATCACCCCGTTATTAGTTACACATCAAATTGAATATCTTAAAATTGTGAACGGTTTTGAAAAGTCCCGTTGGTTTTCAGATTAGCGAGGTTGTACTGTAAAAGTGCTGCTTTTACTATAAGTCAAGTAACGTGTATGCTAGAACCAAAAGTTCTCGAGAGGAGTGTTAGCACAGAGTATGTAAGAATTAGAGACTACTCTCATACAGTCATGCAGTTTCGTTTTATTTTATTTTAACAACAGCCTACAATCAGAGATGTGCGCGCTACTTGGCGCGGGTATCGAACGGATTGAGAAATTTTTCTGGGATCAATAATGAACTGTGGAAAATTTACAATAGGTATGCATGCCTTTTTAATAGCATTAGTTTGACGTCATAAATAATACTTCAATACATTCCATCAATATTCATTTTCTTCGATATACTCGGTTGTGATTTCTCTTCCAGAGCATTTGAAAAGCGATTTTCAATAAAAAATTACCTACTCTGTAAAAAAATCGGGTTACGAGGACGTATTTAATGTTTTAGCATAGATTCAGAAACCTTTAAGGTTTCATTCGTTTAGCAATAAAGCATCAAAAGGTTTTAGGTAATTTTAAAAAAACATAGCAAAACCAAATGGTTCCGTACACCGCAAGGGATTTTAGCTTGTGTCACTATTTCAAATACAGAACCTTTACAGATGAAAAATAGTTCCAAATATTTAAAAGGGTTCTATATAGAATCATTCTTTATACAGAGCCATGACTGATAGAAATTGGTACGAAAATTTTAAAGGAGTTTGTGTGACATCCTTGACATACACAACGATCAGTGATGGATATCAAATGGACCCATAGAGCTGAAAAGAATTTTATACGAGCCATTTTTATTTGTAGAGTTGCATCACTACATTAGGGCAGTTCAAGCCATAAAAAACGTTTTACAGCGCACCACCTTCCATTCTAACCCTTGTCAGTGATTTTAAAATGGGTCTGGATAGTTAATATGGTTCTATCTGACACTATTTAGTTTGTTTTCATTTATAAGAAGCAGTTTGAATACAATCCTCACATCTTCAGCCCCGAACAGAAGTCCTGAGAGGAATTCTGTACCTATTGCCCATTGAATATATATATATTTCTGAAATCTTTCAAATTGAACAAGTCTCATTGGGCGTGAGATAATCTTAATAGCTTCATTATAAAATTCTTCGAAAGTTTATATTAGAAGTAATCTTGAAATTATTATCCATATTGCTTAAGAGTAGTTCTTCGAGAAAATGAATCTAAACTAAGGGGTAATAAGCCGACTTTTGCATACTTCAAGTCACTGTAGAGCTACTTCATACGTACTTTAACACATTCGGCACGACGGGTTCCACTAGTGGAACTCGCTAAAACTCGCGAAGGAAATTTTTTTTAATCTCGTATTTTTCTTCGGCAGAAGCTTACACTAAGTTCTCTCATGTCTCGATTTTGTTTCAAATACTTATTGCGTAGCATAGTGTTTCTCATTAAAACAACAAAGACCAAAAATTTATTACAGTCAGAACGAAAGGTTTTTATTTTCTTTGTTGTCGAATTACTTGCTTCTTTTGACTGTTCTTATCTGTTTTTCTCAGCAGCCAGCACAGCGCGTTCGATTTTCGCGGGTGGATGTTTCGCATTCCTCAAGCCTCAAGCGGGTGATCAGCAAGTTTTCGCTTCGTCTGGCCTATTGATTTTTGTCTCGAACCAGGTTTCAGCATTTCGGATAGCATATCAAGTTGTAAAGATCGAACAGGGCATTCACGAAACTACAGAATAGTCACGTCGCTTATGGCATAGTTTTCTTTGTATATTAAATACCTATCGGCTATCGCCGTCCCTAGAGTAAATTCAAATACCACCGTTCGGCACTATTTTACTGGGCGTTTGACACACGTACAGTCCGCTGTCTTCCTTTGCTGCAGTATAACACGACTTGCGGCTTCATAATGCGCTCAAGTGCAGAGAGACAAGAACAACAAAGAAAAAACTGGACGTTTCGTTTTCTTATCCTGCACGTACTATCTATGTAATACAAAGAACGAAAGAAGACGTGTGAAATTTCTCACTCGAACGCGAAAAATGGCTGATTATCTAGTAATAAAAAGAAAAGAACGATATGCGTTCTGCAGAAGACGATAAAAATGTCAGTGAAAATATTTGATAGAAGTTTAAGTATCCACAAAAATGATTTTCTCGAAAAATTTTTGAAAACTGAATCGTGCCGAATGTGTTAAGGTACTTCAAGATACTTTAAGTTACTTTATGACACTTTCAGCACTTGAAGCCATATTTACACTTTTTTCAGTCATCCACTATATTCAGAAATGTATACTGTTCATGTCTAATTTTCAGATATTTGATATTTTTTTATTCAAATTATAAAACAATAAACAGCAATCATTTTGTAGAGTAGATATCTCACGAATTCATGTAAAAACAGGTCGACAAACGTACAAGAAATACAGCAAGCAGAAAAAAGAAAGCTGCTAGCGCTATTCCTGTAGAGTTAAAAATGGGAAACATAATAACCCAAGTCGACAAATCCCATACTCGGATCCGATAGGATTCCTGGTGATGGAATTGCTTCGGATCCCATGTCGGATTGCGTCGGGTCCAAAACACGGATTTTATGGATTTTCTAAGGGTCATCATAGAATCTAGCTAAAAATAATGCTCATAAAATTTGCAACAAATGACTGGGTTTTTTCCAGTGGGAATCCGATGCAATTCCGTCACCAGGAATTCTATCGGATTTCGTCGGATAGTTGCTTCGAGGGTGTATAGTGTGACGGTGGGTCAGGGATGTCGATCATGTCTGATGAGCGGGAAAAGAGCAGGACAAAGTTTCTGCACTTAAGCATTTCAACACTCTTTCAGGTCGTATTTCACAAAAAGATAAAACAGGTAAGTAAAAGCTTTCATGCGCTACTTGGTTCCGAACAAGAATATTGTTGTGATTGTGATATTAATTGACGTTTATAGTTATGCACAACTAATTTCGAGGGTGAGAGNAATATGATATCAGTTTTGCATCAAATCGTAGTTTCCCTAACTGAAAGCTTCGAGAAAAAAGTCTCAAATATAGAAAAACTGTATATTCCGATACCAGTATCCCTGGGATGAGTAGTCGCTTTAAAGCTTCCTAGACGTATAGTTTTGTAACGAGTAGAAAGTATTATGAAATGGTGAAAATCCGACTTCCATATAGTGTCAAAAAAGGCGTTCTGCTAAGCCGCTAAAAAACGTTCCAGTGTTACAAAATAGTCTGCAGACATGTTCGCGGTTTCAAAAATCAATTAAAGTTGTACGAAAACAATATGGAATCTACCCATGTACCAGTTAGAAGATCCTTTTCCTGCAAAACCTTTTTTAAGTTCGGAACGCCAAAAAATATCTTTTGTCATGGAATGCAAAACTTCTAAGGTTTCTTATAAGACCTCATAAAAGTATTAGCTTTTAGTACGAAACCATTAGATTTTCTCATGAAAATCTAGAGTTATTGACTTCTACTATGAAACATATATTTGGCTTTTCGACTTTAAAGAAAAGATTTCGTACGAAAAGTAGTTTTATCGGTTCGGTCCAATTCTTTATTATATTTTGGAAGTGGTGAACATGCCTGGATACTTTCTCGTAGTAACCGAACCTTTTTTGAGTTTCAGCAAAGCATCAATTTTTTACGGAGTAGGAGAAATATCAAGGGGATAAGTGCAGACTGGGTGCCGTGGTATCTCAGTGTTCATTCAGCATCCATCCAGTGTCTAACTGGTATTTCAATGCCCATTTAAGGTCACTTTAAACCCTAAAAATCTTTTACGTGATTCCGATATTGATAGTAAATTTGATTTTTATTAGAATGAATAAAAAATTCAATCTATTCCTTAGTTACAGAGTTGAAATCTTTTTTCGAATATGCGCAGAGCATGTGAATAACAAATTCAGAAAGAAAATAGTATGAAAAAAAGTGCAAAACTTTCGAATCTTATCCGAGAGTTATGTGCGCTACAAAAAGTATATAAGTAAGATGCGTCATTCTCAAAATGTCCGCACGTCAAAATTATCACGCAAAATCTTTTCGATCACCTGTTTTGGAATAAATTTGCGCTTATATCTATAGTGGTTATGATCGTGAGTAATCTCATCAATCTTCAAGAGATAAACAGTGAATACATATATCAGCTTTCTCATAATAGCCTACTAATATGAGCAACTACGGAAGTCGGATTTTCACCATTTCATAATACTTTCTACTCGTTACAAAACTATACGTCTAGGAAGCTTTAAAGCGACTACTCATCCCAGACATACTGGTATCGGAATATACAGTTTTTCTATATTTGAGACTTTTTTCTCGAAGCTTTCAGTTAGGGAAACTACGATTTGATGCAAAACTGATATCATATTTAGAACCATCTTTTAAAACTAAGTCAATTCATATATGTTTAAAAACAAAAAAAGTTTTTTTTCAAAAGGAATCTCTGGCTTCCTTTCAGAAATGATCTGGTTAATAATGACATTTTTTTTCCAATAGCTCAATTATTTCTAGGCGAATCATTCTCGTCTTCGAATTCAACTGACATACTAGTGAGACGATTCTGTGTGAAAAACCTCAGTTCAATGGGGTGTAGTTATAAAAAGTTATTATGTAAACGACCGGTTACTCAGACCGATTCTAGCAGTAAACTCTTTTTCCGGTACACTAAAAACGACGCAATCCTTCCAGTTTACGAATTCCCTTTGATTTTTGCTGTAAATCATTAAAACATCATCACTTCATGTATGTAAAAGATGAGCATAATCTCTCATAGCTTGAAAGCTGAATAATTCAGCAACATCAGCCCATGAGCTTGTTTAGTAAAATTATGAAATTTCTGATGATTATAACTGAAAAAACCATCTGGTACATCAAAATAAATTCCTTTTACTTCAAGAACTGTTGATGGTAACATTAAATCAAATATATCTTAAGCCCCCCCCCCCCCCGCCCTTAGGCTTATTTTGGTTTCTCATGGTACAATATTGACAAAAATTTTTCAGGAGACTTATATTAGCTCGGATATGCCAGACCAGTTTTGAAATGTAGCTGAGGTCCGATGCTACAGCCCAACAGAGTCGGACTTTTTTCTCTTGCTTTAGAATTTCTTTAAACTCAAATTTATGTAAAGAAGTTGAATAAGACAAGACGGTGAGTGTAATGCAAAATAGACGACTATCACTCGATATAAAAAATTAATTTGAAAGTCTGACTCTGTTAGGCTGTAGACCTAATGATCCTCTCCATTTTGCGACCAATCCGAACTTTCTAGCGCTTAAGGTGGTGGAGAAATCTGGTTCAGAAGAAACCTTTAGGATGAAAAACTTCATTTTGAGAAAACGCATCGGACGTTTGAGAAGTGAAATTTTACGCATTTTTGCGAAAAAAATGGCATAGAAGTAAACCCTGAATGAGTGTATAGTATAGTAGTGACGAGAAAAAGCATCTATTAGTATTTCTAGACCGATAGATTCGACAAAAGTTTATCAAATGATCTGTGCAAAATCAATGTAGAAGATACAAAGAGAGAAAACCATAGATAAATTAAACACACAAATGGAAATGTAATAACAGTCCTGTCAAGAGAATAAGTTAAAGAGAAGAGAGAGAAAATCAGTCATTTGCTCCTGGCTCATAATCACTGATAACGTTATCATCAAGTACTTCCAAGTCCGTCAAGCGATTGGGAGTATTGATGGAATCATTAGTGGTAGGACTTAGAGAAAATGAGAATTTGTTAGCGTTGGTGATGAATCACACAACGCCAGACTAGAGATTAAGATGGTCCTTCTAGTCTAACTGGATCAGCACATCTGCCCGGATAGAAGAAGGTGTGGGTGCGAGTCCCACGAAGGTCACTTTTTCTCGATTCTTCTCGCTTTCGTTCTCTTTCGCTGATGTCCCTATAGTTTGAGCTAACAAATACACTTGTAAATAATCTATCTAAACTACTATAATCAGCATTATAGATGATTTTGGCCAAGCCTAAAGCGATGCGAAGAATTGTTGAGAAGCAGCTCCTATGCTTATGTGCCATTGTCCATACGACAGAGCGGAACGCTTCATTCGCATTCTTTGAACCACCACCTACTGCACGCGCCAAACTACTATGCGATCAATGATGATTAAAAATTGCCCCCGATCTTTTATGTAATCCAACTAAATGACTTTTGCAGTCACGTATAGCTTTGGCAAAATAAATTTTGAATTTTATTACTAAAGCATCAGTGAATCTATCTTTCCTACTAAACTTTTCTCCATCGGACAAAATAATATCCTTCTTCTCCCTTTTGATCTTCATGATGCGATTGAACATTCTTTTGGCGAAGTGATTGGTATCTTCGAGGTTTCTAATACTTATATTGGGGTATGATGAATTAGTTGTCAGATGTTTATGAACTTTAGCGCCACCATCGCCGATATATGAGCTGCATGTGATATTGTGCCTGAGACCTGACCGAGAAAACATTTCATGAATCATTTCCTTTTCCATTCCACCAGATGATCCTGAAACCAAGAGACAGCCATGTCATGATACTTTATAATAGTTCAGAAAAACTTACCAAGATAGTTCAGTTGACATTCATGATTTTTTTTGAAAAATCTCAAACAAATCAGGATCTACACAGCGCAGACTTTCCGCTCATTGATATTTCGCGAATTTTTCCGAAGACCAGTTTGTATCAACTACTTTTGGTCGTTTTGTTGCTCTGCATAAAGCAGCGATTCCATGAACACTCGAATGAGCTCGAGTAAGCCATGCACCGTCATCACTCATCGTCATATCGCGTACGTCACCTTCATCAACAGCTGTTTCAGCAGCAGCTGCCAAAGAATTATCTTTAGCTTTTTCTACGTAAGCGAGAAGGAATTCTTGTGTAGCTCGATACTTATGTTCTTGAACTGGTGGTGGTAAATTCAGAACATCTAAAATTTTCACTAAACAATCATGACCCAATCCGCATAACGTACTTCCAAGCGCTAATCGAACATTTATATCATGACGTTCACTATTTGGTAACATTGACGATGATCATAGACGAGTTAAAACCTCACAGGATAAGCGCACAAATTCAAATTGTATATGTAATCCATTACGTTCTTTCATGAGTACTGATCCATTCCACAAAATATTACATTGAGAGCATTTGAATTGCGTCAACAACAAGTTCAAAGATTTTGTGTGAATAATTGAATAAGAGTCGAGAAAATTTCCCACCCTTTCTGCACTGAAAGTGTTGGATATTGATGAACAACTTCGTTTTCTTTTCGCATTTCCCGATCGAATAGTTATCATAATAGATATTCTAGTTTTGGTTCTTCCACGACGTTTTATATCACCCATTGGATTTTTTATGACGACGAAATGAATATATGCATTCGATAGACAATGCCGATAGAAAGTGAAGTTAGGTAAATCAAAGACGAAAGTATATGGGTGATAGAAAGAACGCAAAAAGTGAAATAGCACTCACCCTAGAAACACTATAATCGCTAAAGTTTTCGAAAAAAATATTATTCAGGGCAGTCCGCCTCTGGAAAATCTAAAGATCACACGGAAAACCCGTCGTAAAATAGGCAAACTATAGTGAATTCGATAGCGGGGAACTTGCTCTATCCAATGGAACAATTTTTAAAAATTCCAAAAATTTGGCTAAAATTGACTTTTTAGGGCGGCGGGGGGCCTTAAACAACAAAAATATTTATAATAAAAAATATGTGATAATAAATAATCAATAGTAAAACATGTAATCTTAACAAACAAGCCCTTTGATAGTTTCTTTCTTACTGATATGTCATCCAGGAAACTTAATCAAAGAGTTATTGTTTTGAGATTTCTAATAATACTTGAGAGAGTCGTCAACCTTTCTGGAAAACATTCTCATGTAATAGAAATTTATGAGTGAATGGCAATTTCACTGTAGCGTTTTGGGGGGAAAAGTGGACGGAAAAAAATTTCGATTTTCGAGGCAATACGTAGTCCATCTTATTACCCTGTATCAGCAGCACGCATGAATAAAATTTTCCAACTACCACTGTTGTACTAGCTGAGATATATATTTCTAAAAATTACCAGTAACATATTATTAATGTGAAAGCAAAATCTGATAAGTATTTTTTGAATAGCTTTTGATAGAAACTATCTAATGACGTCGGGTTAACCAGATTTTGGATGAAAAAAATTGATTTTTATACGAAACGGGCATCGAATTCGTAAACAGCGTTAAAACTGCAACCATTAGTCTATTCAAACTTCGCCAACTCGAAAAGAAAGATTTCGAAACTTGATCAGCGAAGCGTCACTTTACGTGGACAAGCCGTATAGTTCCTCGACACGTGAGATGTTCGACATAGATATTTCTTATTCGCAGCGGGTACTCGGTCTGGTATATATATATATATATATCGGCATGCAACAATCCCGATTCTAGAATTGGTCGGAATTGGAATTGGTTGAAACTGACTGGGATTGGCTGGAATTGATATGGAACTGACACGTCATAGTGAGCAACTTTCACGGACTTCATGAGATCTGAAAGGAAACTACTTCTAAATGCTTTTTGTTGCTGGAGATTTATCTGTCACTGAAGAAAATTGTTCGAAACTATTTTTGGTTTAGTTAAAAGTAGTAATATATTTGAATATGTCTCGGCTCGATTCCAGCCAATTCTAGTCGATTCTAGGCCAATTCCGATCCCAATCCTAATCAATCTCATTCGATTCCATTCGGTTCCGATTCCTATTCCAATCGATTCCAGCCAATTCTAGAATCGGAACCGAATCTAATCCGGATTGTTGCATGTCTATTTAAATCTGAGTCGGTTCTGGTACAGGGTATACCAAAATTATAAGCTCCCCTTACACATGCATTGAAAAATCTTTATTTTGCCTCCGAAATAGGAGACGATGATCAACTAATGGTATGATGGTGTATGACTACATAAGTACTATCTATCAAGGTAAGTTTCGATTTGCGTTTCCCTAACANGCAATTATTGATTTTCGTCGGGGTATCGTTCAGAATCTTTTATTATAAATATTTGTAGTTTTTATTTGAGAGAATTTTAAGAACTAATAAAAGAGAGATTGTATATGCCATGACTAACTATGTGCATTGGCAATTTTTATGTGAAAATTTGCATTTTATTCGGGAGAATCAATTCCGCTCTGATGTCTGTCTTCTACATTTGAAAGCAACAAATCAGCCCGCTGCTTTGAAAACTCACAAAAATATGCCACCTTGTATTGAGGTACAATTCGATACAGACAATAATGCTAAGGTATTTCTCGACGAAGACAGCACCATACAACTTGATGTCGTTCTAAATGAACACGATGGCTTTCCGCTAGATCGCTGGTGGCGCATAGGAAATGACTCCTTTTGGCTTACACAGTTTCAATACTATCCTAGTGTTAAAAAACTGGGCTGGGTTACAGTCTTACCTACGACGTTCTTTGAGTATTCAACCGCGGTAAGTTTCTCTGTTCGTTTGGCAGTCGTCAATGAATCGAAAAGGAAAAGGTTCCTCATAGAAAGCGCAATAGTCGATGCTTCGTCAAAATATAATAGACTTGATAATGTGTCATTGTACACTGTAAAAAATTCGCAGAATAGTAAATCCTTTTTAGGGGCTTATTAAACTTATAAGTTATAGGAAGGCTATTTTATACGATGCATTTTCATATACCTTTAAAAGGCTTATTAAACTCATAAGCCTACGAAAATCGCCTGTCTTTTCTACCATTCTTTCAAAGGGCACATTGACGAATCTTGTAAGGCATATTAATGCTCATCTATCCTAAGAGGTTTTATGAAAGCGCAACGTGTAAGAATCCCTTACCAAGTTCATGGAAAACATGGTTTCTGAGAGGGTGCATAGCACTTAACAAACCTAAAAAGGGTTCATAATTCGATGTTTTTTTACAGCGTACAGTAGCAACAGGTAGAATAGACTGGTCGGGAAACTTTTTCGCATCATCTTATATATGGTTAGTTCTATGGTATTCATGTTAGCTGAGAGAAAACTAGAAGTTGGAAAGAGATAGGACGAATATTCTCACACCTAACACAGTAATAACTCATAGGCAACAGAAAATAACCTATTGTGCAAGAATTTCACAATGTGTTTTTTGCAGTTATCGGTCCACTAATTAGTACCATATTACAAACTGCTATATCAGATGAAGAATAACCTACTCTGGAAGTGACACCTTTCTACTTTCTAATAGCCTCCTAGATGCTTCTTTTCTATAGAGTCTGATAGAACAAAAGAACTTCTATCTTTTTATGCCAGCCGATGGCACTTCGCCTAATACTAGGACATTAAATTAGTTATAAAACTTGTTTTGGCAGCATGTATGTTGGTTGTAATTAATGGTAGTTGAATTTATTACATGTTTTTTTCTCTTCAATCGTCTTCTTTGCCTACATAGAACAGATAATAAAAAACCGTCCGGTGGTATGTCAAAAGGATTAGGCCGGGGTGTGGTTAATGAGATACCTTCGGATTCTAGGTATATGAGCACAACTTGATGAAGGGTGTGGCTGTCCGTAAACGTGGTGAAATTTAACCTTTCGGAGTCGAAATTAGTTTTGCTAGATTGCGGCTAAGTAGATTGTGGAATTTACGTATTTCCGACATATGAATGTATATCTTATGCATTTCGTATGTTATGAATAGGGGCGATATGTAATCATATAGCATTTCACGGAGGGTTGAAGACAAAGAACAGAAGGATGCAAACGCATGGCATATACTATATGTAGTAGACAGAAGAGTTATGGAACGCTCTCCATCGCTTGTCTCCATAGGGCTACCTACTTATCTATGTGAGTCCGGTACAATTTGCCGTCAGGTACATTTCCCAAGGGTCTATTTTATCGCTGTCAGTTAGAATATAACATAGCGCGCAAGCTTACAAGATTTCAAAGTACAAGACAGACATCAGAGCGGAATTGATTCTCCCGAATAAAATGCAAATTTTCACATAAAAATTGCCAATGCACATAGTTAGTCATGGCATATACAATCTCTCTTTTATTAGTTCTTAAAATTCTCTCAAATAAAAACTACAAATATTTATAATAAAAGATTCTGAACGATACCCCGACGAAAATCAATAATTGCTCTGTTATCACGATCACCAATAACAGTTTGAATCCTTACTTCCCTGACTTCGTCTTCACCCTGAAACAATAGGTATTCTACCAAATCCATGAAAAAGGTATCGTAGGTGTCCAAAAGCCTCCAAATGTGTCGACATGTTAAACAGAATGCTTTTCAGAAATCTGCGAAATCAAAAAAGGATCGGTCGGCAGGTACACGTTCCAAACCTTCATCACAGAACCTTTTCAAGTTTCGCATGGTTCTGTGACGATAATGATATCGTTCATATCTTTTTGTTCTTTATTTTCTCACCACTATATCATATTGTCTCCGGGACATCTCTCTGTTTCCTCTTCTCTATATAAGCGTGTGTCTTATTGTGAAATAGGGACATTCTGGTCATGTAGAGTAGTCAATAAACATCTATACCGTGAGAAGCGGTTANTTGTTCGTGCTAGCTTCATACCGATCGTAATCCATAGTCTTATGATAGTCTATATCATCCTTATTTCAGTTCACACAAATGTCAAAGAGAGCAAAAATGACGCTGTGAATCTGAGACGACCCTAAAACCGCTTCACTCCATTCAACCTTTACTTTGAGCACCTGGAAACTCTAATTTTATTCCATTGATTGAATCCTTTCCAGATCAATTAGACCAATTTCTGAATTTAGTTCCCATCCATTAAGTGTTTGAAATAGTTTGCGATACAATTCTTCACTTTTAAAAGTCATAAATGCATAGATAATGGAAAGAATTTGAAAATTAATATTTCCACAAGCTGGTCCATCAAAGCCATATACGTAAATGACGAATTCAAGTTGAAACTGTTTTGAATATACCATCCACTATTCGAAATCTAGCATTTGGCAGTCATTTAAGATTTGCAATTGTTGTGAAAATTAAAATTCTTTGATCTTTATGAGAGATGTCTTTGGCAAAAGGTGGTTCACTTGATAATGAGTCAGAAAAACGTTTCGAAAATAGCTGTGAAACAATAAATAGCAGCTTTTGGAGCTCGAAGAGAACGTTGAATGGAGTGAAGCGGTTTTAGGGTCGTCTCAGATTCACAGCGTCATTTTTGCTCTCTTTGACATTTGTGTGAACTGAAATAAGGATGATATAGACTATCATAAGACTATGGATTACGATCGGTATGAAGCTAGCACGAACAAACGATATGTTAGCTAAAAACGTTTTTACTAAGTTTCTCCCTTAAATAAAAGTACCACCATTCGAAGCACAATTAAATTTTGAGTCGATTGATGTAGTTTTCATGGGCGGGAGATACTTAGTAAAATAACGGGTGCGGCAGAATAAATAACTCTCTCTGTGTTTTGCGAATATCTTTCTTATAGTTCGACGTGAATACTTGAGTTTTTCCCCAATAGATAGCCCGTGATATTCTCTACAAATCCTGAGGGAAAGGGTTCTTCTAAAGAATCATCGTAAAAGTATACCAAGTCAATCTTACCATGCCCTAAATCAGTCCACTTTCAAAGCACTATTGATCAAACTTACCATTCTACATAGCTCCTTCTTTCACATAGAGAAAAGATCGCTAGGGCAATTTATAGTCCGTGAAAAGCTCTATCAGTAGATGCAAACGTCATTTCGATATGTCGCCAATTTAGCTGGAAGAAGTGTGGCCTCTGTTTCCCGCTAATTTCATTCAAAAGATATTACTTTAAGGTTCCTTGTAGTTTTGAATTCAACACACGACATAAGCAATTGTTATATATTCAGATTTATTACAAAATTGAAGTAAAATGTTTCCTCTCTGACTTCGGTGGGAATATGATGATACAAAGTTTGTTGCTGTAATGATTAAGACTCAGAACCGAACGAACCGATAGTTCATTATTACGTTTTAGAAAGACTGACAGATAGACACTCGCAATTCTATTCAAACAACTTCTTTTCAATTTAAGTAAAAACCCGCGCCTAATAATACAATTGAAATACATCAAAGCAGATTTTTGTAGTTATTTAGCTAGAAGGAATACAA